GTAAATCAGTAATATTCCCTGATATGATTCAAACCACCAGCGGTTGGACGAACAGTTAAGAACGCAGGGCTCTCAAGCGGGAGAGCGCAGGTTCCAATCCTCGATACGGCAATGGATTGTTTCTTGTCAGAGGCCCAAATACAAATCCTCATGTGCTCATCCCTTAGTGACGGCACTAGCCAGGGTGCCCTAAATTTTCAGACTCAAGTCCCCATGCCCTAGTGCCAGGTGTGCTGCACTGGCCAGCGTTAACCTGTGTTACTGTAAGGTAATGCTGATGTAAATCCATCTCATCACCACCATCGTCCTGGTGTACCGTGATAAAAGTCACACAAGGTTGGCAGCCTAGTCATCCAGGGCAGGAATCCACTCCAACAGCCTTGTGCTCTCTCAACAACTTTCGTTTATAGGGTTTCTCTCAACACCCCGTTTTTTTTTCTCAGTCTAGCTGTTCCCCACATTAGTGCCCAGATCCATCTGCTCCTTGTTCTTCCTCGTGCCCAACAACTCGTTATCCTACAGCTGTACACGTGTATACTAAACTGCCCCTACCTCCCCCATTATTTCAACACACTTGCTCAGGGAAGTTATAGAATATTTCTAACGATGCTACTCAAACAAGTACCCGATCGATGCTCTTTTATCCCACAACTCTTGTTTGCCCCCCTCTTGTCCCAGGTCAATAACAAATTATATATAGCAGCAAACGATAATTGACAACTGCAGGCACAGCTGTGCTGATACAGAATCAACTGCTTGTATGTGGGCATGCTGATTTTAGCATGGGCGGGAGGGATCAATGGCGCTTTAATAAACGAGTAGGCCAGGTAATGCTACTATTATAATTCACGGATAACAACGGCCGCCGATTTAACTTTAGCTCGGGTATTCTCCTTCTGCTGTCATAAACCCCCTTTTTTTACAGACCCAGAAAGGGATATTATAAACCCAGAACATGACCACACCAAATGGGTTTCGCTGACTCTGCCTTATGTGCTAGTCGTGCAAAAAAAAAAAAAAATAGACACATCTGTACAAGACAGTCTAAGCTTTGCCAGTCAGATAAGACATCTGATTTGAAGAAGCAACCATGCAAGGCCAACTATGGGCTACCGGTGAAGACATCAAGCGCACCGTCCTGTTTGTGACTCATGTTGGAATTGATGCATAAACAGTGATCTCCGAAGAAGAATCGTCCAACAGAACAAAGGTCCTCCACCAAAGACTCAAATCTTTGCTGCCCCCCGGAGCTCTGTGTGTGACTTTCGAGGATTATTCTATTATTCAGTTCTCTATGTGCGTCAAGGTCAGCGTGTTTTTTTTTTATCTTCGTCACCATGAAAAAGACTGTAGTTATACCACTAACAGGACTTCCGGTCTAAAACTGATGATTGGGCACAACAGAATGGTAAGCTTGGGAGTTATTTTTGCTTCCGACAGCGCTTTGCTAATGCAGTTTCCACATATGAACTAATGTTTTGCTGCCTGCGCTACTGATTTTAGTGCGACCCTCTGGGAGTTTTTGTTCACGCGGAATGCCTTTCATTTGTGCAGCGGTTGAGTCGTGGTATTCAAAGAGCCGGTAAATGGTTTAAGTGTGGCAATCTTGATTGTATACACAAGAGCACTGGTGAAACTGTAGAGCCATGGAGTAGTCTCTGGGCGATATTACATTATTCTGAGGTCCATGTACCCAGACGAAAGGCTACCATGCGTGAATGCGAGACAGCTGCTATCCAGTTCACCAGCTACGGACAAACCCCCTTCTCCATGAGCGCAGATATCAAAATAGCATATCTAGTTGTCATTCTCAAGATCAAGTGCTACCACTACCGTCCCCCTGCCTATTCTGGAACCCCTCATAAACATCAAAAGCAAAAGTAGCTGCATTTGACCAGGTATTTTTCCTTGGCCGGTAACCACACAAACCTTTTGGCAGGAGCTTTTCCCTTTCCACAAATATTTGTAGTTTAACAGCAATAATCTTTTCTAGCACCTAGCCAAAAGTTTTTTTGTAGAGTGATAATCCTGAAACATATGTCTGGAATGATCTTTGCCTGGTAATCGAAGAGGTAGTTGTGTGCCTAATCCTGGGGTACTGAAGCTCTGGCTGAAGTGTTGAAGTGAGAAACCAACTCCCTCAAGTCTTCATCACTCATGCTCAAAGTCATCGAAAACATGGAAAGAATAACACATCCATAAGATGGGAAAAGTAAATCATCCATAAAATGGATAGATTAACACAGGGATACATGGAAAGAGTAACAAATGAATTCAATGGAAAGCATAACGACAATGGTTAGGCAAAGAAAACACTGGGTTGGGAAAGGGGGGGGGGGGTCTAATAAAGGCCCAATGTCTGAATGAGAAAAAAAAAACTCTCTTTGTGAACACTTTTTTGATTGATCATATTATCTACTTGTAACCCAGATGGTATCAGTGTTTTAATTTTGCTTGACAGATGGGTAATATGGAAAAGGAAACCTGAAAACAGGGAATATGTATCATGGGAAAAGTGAAGAGGAGAGGGAGACAGGGAGACAAATGTGCATGGAGCTAGGACACATGACATCATCTTAACAACAACAACACAGATATGAATGATTTTGTTGTTGTCTTACACCATTAGCACAATGGGCGTATGATGCTGGACTCACAACTTTATAGACTGGTCAGCATTTCTTGGATGATGTGATCAACATTGCCTTTACTTCCCATAACATATACCTGGTACCTACCCATATGAGTTCAGGGACGCCATCATGTGGAATAACAAAAACAGACCCACTGCCTCCCTAATAAGCACCTCATAATAGTCGACCAATTTGGGGTTGCCTTCGAAGAACAAATAGAATTTTCTGCCGGAATTTACAGTCCAGAAACGCGAAGAAGAAGAAGAAGAAGAAGAAGATATGCTTGGTACCTTTTTTAAGGTTGGGTCCACATGGGAATCAAGGCCTATTCTGGACACAGATTCATTATTGTGGTATAAAACAACAGTGGAACATAAAACTCTACAGACCCCAGAGTGAACTAACCCATGCTAACGGACAGGGCACATGATGATGATGAGGTGACTAGTTCATGAATGACAGTATTATATAAAGTTTGTAAGAACCAGCAGAACTAACTGCTAATACTTGTGGCTGGAGCTGACTGCCACTTCAAGTGGCATGAACTCTAGTCTAAAACTACAGTAAATCAAAGTGTGCATTTGTCTGACAGATCTGATTAATTTGTATGCAGACTGTTGGTTCCTTGCCTCTCAGGCAGATGCACTTTGACTTTGAAGGAAGCTCCCAATTAGTCGACTCTTACTGCATGCTTTTGGGTAGGCAGTGGTTCTATTCTTGTTTTCCCTATAACAGGGTCCCAGAGCTCACGTGGGGAGCACATGTCAGCAATGCTACTGTTATGACTGCTGTAAATAGAGGATTTTATCAGCAAGGATGTATGCCTACAAACATCTACCCCTAGATTGTTCGTGTATACTCAACAAGCTCCTACTTCTTCTTATTCTACACTTGCCTAGAAAATTGCAGCTGGTACATTGAATTGTAGTTTACAGCAAGACTGCTATATCTGTGACTTTTATGATCTGACTTTTTTGAACCCTTAATTAGTGACCATTTACAATATGCTTGTTAATAAGCACTAGTTCTAGTCTTTTCCTCCATAAATTGGGCCCCAGAACATGCACACTGAAAAGGTAAGGTTTTCTATGGGGCAATGAAGCTAGCCTCACACTAAATCACAGTATATCTATCCCCCCTCCCCCAAACAAATAAGGCCCCAGAACACTCACGTGGAATGCTCCTATTAAACTTTTCATCCCAAAAGGTTATAGCTGAACCCCCCTACTGCCTCCTAGTGAGTGGGTGAAAAAAATCGACAAAATAATGGCTATAATACATCCACAAGCTCTAAATTCACATGCTCAGTGGGAGAAAAATGTGTTGCTGATGGTTTAGCATGCCCTAACTGAACATAACATGTACAATCATAATAATATGTTAACTGCTGCCTATGAGTAGATCCGGTCACACATGCTGGGTTGTTTGGGGCTGAAAGAGTTATTTCTTCAAGTAGCAGGTTGATGCTACTGGAGCAGAACTATTCAACGGGTGGTCAATGAACCCTATGACGGTTTCATGACCCTAAGTGTTTTAGACATTTTTTTTAAAATGGACCTACTTTCCCCTAAATAATCACACTGTAAAAGCCGACTAATTAGGGGTCTGATGAAAAAAGATGGGCTCAAAGGCATGAATATCACAATCTTGCAGTAAAACACTATACAACCACCCTTTTACAGGCCAAATGCAAATAAAAGACAAGACTTCATATTTAAAAACAATATGGATACAGTGACTATCTCTTTTAAGTTTCATGGGGTTTAGTATCAGAGACTCAAGTGGTAGTAAAGAGAGACATACAATCTGCACATCTTGAGTTCACTGGGCTTCTAGGTAGGAAACTATGGATGTATGATGTGTCTCTTGGGACTGAAAGAGTTAATATAACATACAAATGTTAACAGTTATGAAATGTAAACTGTGTATGGAGCACTGAAGTAATGAATCATAGAGGTGCCAACACACAAAGAATATACTGGAGGTGATCTGCCCGCACATAAATTTTCTTGGGGTGAAGCCGACAAGAAACATAAGCTTTGTTTAAATGTGCACTCACATTTATCATTATATTACTATTATACACTGCGTGCCAAATACACACAAGAATATTTTATCTTTAGAATGTGAAATGTATAAACAAAACTTCCAACAACTTCTGTATATGATTAAGGGTGTTACCTAAACCCCCAGGCCCCCCCCCCCCCAATTTTCTAGAAGAAGAGCGCTGCTGAAATACTAAAAGTCATTTTAAACGAAACAATAACAAGTAATAACACAAAAAAGCATTAGTAACTATGTAGGTAACGTTAGAAAGCTGTAAGAAAGGAAATGGTTAGCTGAGCAAAAGAAAATGTTCTCACTCACCTTCACCCAAATCGAAGCGAAACTTGCTCCCCTTAAACACGATACACACGATCAGCTTCTTCTTGAAGGGCAGACGGTTAATGAGCCGTACCAGCTCCCTGTAGATGGAGAGAAGGGTATCCCAGGATATGGGCAGCGGTGACTGGCTCTCCGGGTACTTCTGAACCACCTTGGTCCTTTCACACGGGGTCGGGACAGTGGCCTGCCATCGAGACGATATGCACGACGACGGTGTCGATGATGATATAGATGCTGGTGACCTGAAGTCGTCGTTTCGTCGGCCCACCTCCATGTTTGTTGTCTACTGCCGCCAGCTGGCAGCAGAAGAATGAGCCCGCGAGCTTTCGTCTCGGGGAGGAATCCAGAGCAGCTGTGGGGGCAACGGTTCCAGCACTTGTCTGCTGCTCAGTTGCCTGGTACACCGGGACTGGCCTGGCCTCTGATCGATCAGGCGCTCACCCCTTTCGCTAAAACCGGGGAAGTGCGGGCCAGTTCATTTAAACTAAGGTTTGCTGCGAGGTATGTGGTAACACAAAACGTCAACTTTATATTATTTCCCCATTTCCCCCCTGCACATCAACAACGTTCTCGAACCAGCCAAAGGTTAACGATGATACTGTTAGGGTTCCAGCTGGCCAAGCCAAGCGACTGAGCACACACACGGATTACTCTCAGTAAAAGGCGTCAATTAACACTGACTAGAATCCAATATGTATAAAGGTTTTGCCTTCTTTTCTTTTGCACAGTTTCTGCCTGGCCTCTGATGCTAAATCAAGGCTCTGGTTGAAGACTGTATTCTCAATATTGTAGTGCAACAGATCTACAGTAGGCTGGGATATTCAACCCCAACACACGTTCCCTGTGACTACTCGCTATTGTGAACAAGCACAAGTAGTTTCCAAGCTGTGCTGACAGTTTTCAATAGCAAGGGCGGTAATTAATCAAAACAATAGGGAAACCGTCACCAAGAGTTGATGTTTATGCACGTAGGCGTGAGTTTAGGCGACAAGCACTGAAAGGTAAACACATATTTGATTCAGCAAATGTTAATTGCTAACGTCTAATCTACAGAAGAAGAAAAAAACGAAATAACGAAAAGTAGCATAGAGAAGTGATTAGTGCACTGCATGTCACAGTGATGTTCGTGGGTTCAAATACTCCTAAGGGGGAAAATAGGGGAAAGGGGGGGGGGGTGAGGAGGTGGGGGTTATTTATGCAAGAATACATGGCCAATTTAATGTCTGTTACAAGTTAGTTAATTTTCTGTCTCATTCCCACATTAGACCATATTAGGAAGTGAAGGTGGTCGGCGTGATGTTGACCACATCACCCACAGAGTGCTGCTGAGTGGTCTAAAAATACAGGCCTATCTCTATAAAGCCAATATGCCCAAAGGCATGAGAAACGGTCCTCTACTCTCACCATCTTGACACTTCTGATGATTAGTTTGATTTTGCACACTTCTTCTTCTGTACCAGCTCTCAACTCTTTCTGTCCCAAATAAGGCACTATGCCAGACTGAGTAATATTCACCTGTTTCAGTCAACATGTTATGTATGTTTTCACATCTTATGTTTAGTGGAGGACTCTGAAGAACCCCGGCATATTTGTTTCCTGCAAGGGTTGTATATATGGCCCCTCTGGAAGTAGTACACCCATGAGTATAGTATTGCAATTTAAAACTCCCTCAGACATTAGTTGGAACCTTGTGGAGATGAAAGGGTTAGGGGTGGTGGCTAGCATGTTGTGTTTTTGGTTTACAGCTAGGCTGTGATATCTGCGCCTTTCGACCCAACATACCCAATATGCATATAAATCATTATTAGTCTCCTTTTTCGATACGCTTGTTAAGTAGCAGTGGGCCTACTCTTGTCTCCCCAAAATGGGCCCTGAAACCCACATAGACAGTTTTCTATGGAATAAAGGAGCCATGAGCAGACCAACCTTTCTTGGTCACTTCTTATGACATGAATGGTAGATTACAGCTCTTCTTTTTTATGCTGTCCTTATGCAGTGCAACAACACAAGATTAATATTTCTGGACTGCTAGTAGTTAAAGTATGTCTGCTGCAGGGGTTTCCTTTTTCTTCTTTGTCTGTGTTGTGTTGCTAGGCTGCCATATCTGCACTTTTCCATCCTACACATCTTTCAGCAAAATTCTAATTTGTCGCCTTGTTCAATATGCTAATTATGGGAGGGGGTCTTTTCTTTTCTCCTCCAAATCTACACAAGGAAAAGGTTTCCTATAATTCAAAGTTTTGTTTTTAATTTGTCCAGACATTGCTGTTTTCATTTTATTTTAACTGCCATAGTTGTTTATTCTGCCATCATCATCATCATCATCTTAGTTTACATTATGAAAATACAAATCAAGCAACATATTTTGACAATTCATATTCACTTTTCTGTAATCAGAAGTTATTGGAATAAAGATCCAACCCCAAGCTATTCAGCACCATCAAGTGTACTGTTCACTGATAGGGTGATCATGCTTTCTCCAACTACATGTTATAATTCTTCTTCTTAGCGGTGTTCAGTGACTGTAAACTCTGGCAGAAAGTTCAGGTTGTTCGCCCACTTATGATTTTGGTCTTGTTACAGAACTTGAGTTATGCGTGCACATCTGTTTGACAGATCCGGCTTAATTGTTTGCAGAACCGCTGGTTCCTAGCCTCTCAGGCAGGTTCACTCTGACTTCCAAGAAAACTTCCTAATGAGTCGCCTTGTGTGCCATGTTTGTTATGGGGTCAGTGGGTCTATTTTTTTTTCTCTCCCAGAATAGGGCCTAAGAACTCACATGTGAATATCTATCAATTCATTTCTAAGCTTCCATCAACAATCGACTGAGCACTAGCTACTTATTAAAACAGGCTTTCCAGTGTCCACTAAATTATTTTTGATGGTCCAGGCATGTAGATAAAAGAGTCAAGAATTTGAATAAAGCTTATGTAAAAAAAAAAGTAAATGAATAAATGAATTAAAAATTCAAGAACTGACATAACCGCACTTAGGAAATTCTCCACACGTGCTTCGTGCCCATCTTTAGCAGCAACTAAAGAGTTGACATGCTAATAGTACCAGTTACAATCTGATTAAAAGTCTACCTATGTATTTTGCTCAGTGTTGAACATCTTCCAAAACCTCTACTCAACCTTTCCCTCTCCCATCCTCCAGAGGTTAAATTAGAACGTCTTAGCAATGTCGTAACAAGCCCGAGAAGGCTAACCTGGACAACAAACGCCTGCAGAAGTTGGATGTGTCAGCAGAAAGGTGCAAATATCGTAGCCATGCTGTAAATTGGCAACACACAATAACATCTACAGATAAATGCAGAAGAAAAAGATATGGTGAGTGCTACTTCTAATTGTATGAATGTTTAAAAATCTGGCCATTTTAACAGTTTCTGTGTACATTACTATATCATACAGAGCCAACTAAATGCAAATGTCAACAAAAATTTTGAAATTGTCCCCTCACCAAATAAGTCATGGATAAAATAATAAAGCACAGCCATTTTGTCTACACAATATCTGATTTAGCTGGGTTCAGTAGTCACCTGGGCATGACATTTGACAGATGCTTGTCATACAAATGCCACGTAGACAACGTCATACTTAGAGCCAGGAAAGGTTTGACAGCACTCAAGGTGCTAGCAGCAGCTGATATTGAACAACGTCTACTTTTCCTTCTCTATCAAGGGCTTGTGCTTAGCGTCATTGACTATGGTCTTGGCCTCCTCACTGTCAGCAAAACCCAGCTAGAAAGACTGGACCGAGTACAGAATGAGGCCATGAGACTCATACTCGGCTGCACAAAAGATACCTCCTGCAACGCCATGCGTTATATCCTGGGTCTGCCGACTATGACAAGCAGATACAAAGTGGCACAGGTCAAGGCTTACATGAGGGTATCGGCAGACGTTAACCACCCATTACACAAAGCTATTCACGACACAAAAGAAACACGTCTCAAAAGAGGCCGCTCTTATATGGCAAAGGCTGAGGATTTAATCCAGCAGGTATGTGACCTAGACGTGATCAGCCACGGAAAAGAATGGACGAATACACCAGTAGACATGCATGGCATCTCTAAGTTTGTCATCACACTCAGAAGGTACTGCAGGGATCAAATTCCTGCGGCCGTAGACACAGAAGTAAGGGAACTGATAGATCAGCATTCAGACCCAGAAGATACCATCATCTATACAGATGGATCTGTGAAGCGCGGATCAAGGTCAGCATGTGCATACACAGCGCAAAGAAGGGGGAAAACAAAACACGAGGACAGCGGCGCTTACCAGACAACCACGTCAAGCATGACAATGGAAATAGCCGCTGCTTCTAGAGCTTTAGCGTAGGTATCCGAGCAAACCGCCACACAGGCAGTAATTGTCTCAGACTCAATGAATATGCTTCAACAGGCAGTATGCGCTCTGAATGGATAGAAAGCATTCGGAAATCGCACTTAACCTCCGTAACCTGGATCTACACACCGGGTCATGCGGGCGTGAAGGGAAATGAGCGAGCAGACCAACTGGCAAGCACTGCACTAATGATTGCGGGAAAAAGTATGGACAGAGCAGATATAGTCAACGCTGTACGAACTGGGCTAGTGGAGAATGAGGAATCCCTGACACTAACACGATTGCGTTACATGGGAGTTAAGCATGGTGATGCACGTCTTTGCCGTCTTCGAGGCCGAGAAAGGAGACAATATAACCAGCTTCTCATGGGGACAATTAGTAGAAGTACTTTGGAGTGGCTGCTGCTTCGGAGAACTGAGCACGCATGGGTATGCCCAATGTGCAGTGACATTAATTGTGATAAGAAAACATAAAATAACATCTTAGTAGGGAGTCGGCAGTACGAAACCCAAGTTCAAGGTGTCTCCTTCGTGCCAAAGAACTGCATGGCTGTTGGGTGAACAGTCGTTAACGATGGCAGGCATGTCGTTGTAGGGGCGACGCCTGCTGGTGGATGTAATGTCCTAAGTCCCTTCTCCAGCTAATAATGAGGGTACTGCTGGGGTGACCGTTTATTAACCCTCATATAATTCTTCCGGTCAAAATAGACGCTAAGCACGGCCACCCCCCCCCCCCCCCCCAACTTAGCAGAAAAGGTAATAAAATTCTTGATTATCTCCTTTTTTGCAAGCATATTA